AAGTGTAGCCCAGTCTTTTCCCCACCCACTTTTTTATCCCACTTCCTGGCTTTGTTGCCATAAAAGCAAGGACCACAGTCAAAGTCTTTGCCAGCACACAGGAAACAGCTATAGAAAAGATGATGCTGAAACCAGTTTTCATCTTGGTTGGCTGACCAATGAATAGTAATGTACAAAGGAAGCAGAGCAGGAGGGTGATCAGGAGCATGTAGGTAAGATCCCAATTGCTGGCCTTGACAACAGGAGTGTTGTGATGCATCAGAAATATCTGATTAGTATGAGTATGACAATTGTGATTGTGGAACAGAAAAGAGAAAAACAGGCTAAACTGATTCCCAAAGGTTCTTTATAAGACAAGAAACTTATGTCCTTGGGAATACATGAATCCTGGTTTTTGCTCGGATGTTTTTCATCTGTACAGCTGTAACAGTCATTCAAATCTAAAATGGAAAATATATAGTTTAAATCTCAAACTATGCAAAAATATCTACAACCTTTGTAATGTCTTAAATAAGTGAATATCTGATGGCCCTTTCTTCTAAATTCAGCAATGAAGTAAACAATTTTTATATTGGTATAAACCATTGGCGAGCAACATCCAACAAAGATTGATACCAATATGATATGACCAGATAGTCAGAGAAAAAGAGGAAGTCCAAAGAAAACTTGGTGCCAAACATTTTAGGGAAATGTCAAATCATCAACTTTAAATAGAAGGATGTGGAAACTAGCTGTAGACTGAGAACTGGGGTATATACACTTGTAACCCAATATGGACATGGTAATATCAATATACTTCAATTATATGCAACAGTCCTGGCATTTCAACACTAAAACTCACAGTAAACTACAATTTTAAGATTTAAAAAGGTTGATGATTTCTTTGTGATTTACTTTATAGTAATTCATGGAATTTTGGTTTCTATATCTGGTCTGAAAAAATATCAATGGCCACTTGATGATGGCAAAGAGGTAGAAATTTCGTACTCTTTGTTATTAAGTGATCTTCATGATATCTGAATTCTAGTTATACAGGTAATCCTCAACTTACAACCATTTCTTAAGCAACCATTCAGCATTGCAGTGGCATTTAAAAAGTGGCTTATAATCAATCCTTGCACTTATGAACATTGCAGCAACCTCATGGTCATGTGATCAAAATTCAAGCAGTTGGCAATCAGCATGTCTATAGCAGCTGCAGTGTCCTTGGGTTATGTGATCATTATTGAAACCTTCTTAGCTGGTTTCCAACAAGCCAAGTTAATGGGGAGAAACTGCATTTGCTTAACAACCACATGATTCACTCACCAAGTGCACTGGTGAAGAAGATCATAAAATTGGGTGTGACTCACTTAAGCATCATCTTGCTTGGCAATGGAAATTGTGGTTCCAATTGTGATTGTAAGTCAAGTACTACTACAGTAGCCTTTAGCTGATGACCTGGGGTGAATATCAGTTAGATTTATCTATATTGGTCCATCTATCCTGAGTCCAAATCCCACCATGTAGTGATTGAAGCCTGATGTAAGAGAGGCTTATCAGAAGCTAGTACAGGATGAATAGAAGTTGCCTTAATTATTTCTCATTGAGTTTTTTTTTTAATTTCTCTGTTTTAAGCATGGTTAGATATTGATGAAGGACAGGTGAGGGGAGTAATCAACATCAAAATGGCAGTTGTGACTGGCTGGTTAAGGCATGAACTGCACACGTAAAAAGGGATGGAGTTTTGATTACCCAGTCATAGCCACCAGTTTGCGGTTATTAACCTCTCTGTATAAAATACACCTAGCACTAAGGAGTTATATTGTGTACTGCATATTTGAAACAGGTAGCTGTTACAATCCAAAGATGTGTTTTGCAAACAAAGAAAACAAAATAGCAGCCCCAATTGAGTTTTCTCTAACCAGAATGATATTTAACCATCAAAATATTTGATTGCAGCCTTTCAAAATTTTTCAAAATTGTTAAAAATCATTACCTATACATTTATTTGCTTGCATATTTCCTTAAAATGAAAAAGAAATTATGAATACATGAATGATTGAAACTTAAATAGAATGTGAATTGTAAATAGAGTTGTTGTTTTTTACCTGGATTCCATTGAGAACATTAAAACCATTAAAAAGTCAATGATAATGCTGAGTCAAAGAAAGTTCTTTGAAACAGAAAAGATTTCCAGGATTAGTAAAGTAAAACCAAACCCCAGAAGCAATTAGAGCAAAGCTAAATGTAAAATATTGGACACATAATGTGGCAAGAATCCAGCAAGGCAAGAATCACCAAAATAGCCCTTGATCTTTGGAAAAATGGATTGTACAACAATCAAAAAGTGAGACAACAGAAGAAACTGTATCCAAATATTTTCATTAATGTCAGTTAATTGCCAGCAGTTCTTATAGCAGTGATATCAGTCAGCTCATAAAGATTTGGAAACAACTAAGCAACTGAAAAACAATATTATCCTTACCTTCCTTTTCTGCAATCTTCCCTTCGGGACATGAAATGCAAAAGTAGCAGCAAAATGGCCTCCCTTCCATTACTTGCTTCCTAGAACCTGGATTACAGCTAGGTGTGCATTGGGAAACAGGAGCAGTCTGAACCAAAACCAACATAAAAGAGAACATCGTTTTTCAATATTTTAATACTGAGCTGCGGTTGTTCTCTTTAGCATGGTTACCATAAATGTACAGTTTTTCTGCATGCTGTCATAGTAACAAGATTAAAAAGCTTTGTAACTTTGTAACGAAGTAACAAGATTTGGAAAATATTGGGTTTCAGGATTTAGTCTGGGAAACAAATGTTACCAACAAACGTGGCTGGCATTTTCACAGGCAAAATGGTCTTCTGCACATCCCAATAATGTTAATAAGTAAGAAGAAAGTCTGAAGGTTAGCAAAGCCAAGTTACCTGCCCTGCGCAATATCAACCTCCTACACAAGATCTTGCCCAACCAGGAATCTGCTCCCTAAATAGGCAAATCAGAAATCTGCTTGGACAAGGACCCATTCAGGATTCAGCTGCTCAGAGCAGAAGCCAAGACAAATTAAATACATGTGGAACCAACATTATCACCATGACTAGTCAGGATCAGATACAAACAAAGAACCAATCAGGAACCAGCCCTCACTAACTTGTATCAATCACAGACTTTTTGGATAAAACTTAATTAAAAATCAGTATATCTGGCTATAAAGACAGGAGCCCAATGAGTTCCTGGACAGTTTCCTGTGGTCTGTGCAGCAGTCCACTTTGCCTCTGAAAACGAACTCTGAAGTGGTCATCAGGGAATCTGTTCTCTAGACCTCAGTCATAAAACCCTAAAACCCAACAGAAATTGGTTGTTAAAGGCTATACCAGAATAACATGCTTTTGTTTGTTGAGCAATGAGTTGTTTAAATCAATGTTATTAAACTTTTAATAATTCATAATTCATTCTGAATCATTTATATTATTTAAAAAATTAGAAACCATGGTTTCAGGAAAAAAACCATCATGTAATCAGCAACTCTTACACTGCAAAAACATATGGACTACACAAGTCGATCAGGGCAAAACAATAGACGCAATTTACATAGACTTCTGTAAAGCCTTTGATTCAGTGGTACATGACAAACTACTCCTAAAACTAAAATCTTACAGTATCTCTGGACACCTGCATAACTGGATAGAAGCATTCCTGTCAAAAGACAACAAATGGTCAAAATTGGGAGCGTCCTATCAAATTCTGTACCTGTCAACAGTGGTGTCATGCCCCTGGTGGAGACTGACTCTGAGGAAGAGGAGGAACAGCCAACAGAGAGTGGGAGTGTGGCTCCAGAGGTGGTGGAGGAAGCTGGGGAAGGGCAGAGGCTGGCTGAGCAATCAGAGGAGGATCCAGGCCCATCCCCTATCCATCCTAGGTCACGCAGAGAGGAGAGGATCAGGGAAAAGTGAGGTCTACTCAGGAGGAGATTACCATGATCTTCCTTGTGGCTTGCAGCTGGGAGCTATGTATATTAGTTTGTAACTGCGTAGTCAGAATTGCTGGAGTCAAAGTTTAGTGCTTGCTTTGAAAGAGATTTATCTTTGCTGGCATTCTTCCCATGGACTCTCCTCGGTTATCTTCCTGGAATGTATGATTAATTATCTTGGCTTGCTTCAAAACTCTCGTCAATGTGGTTTGTTTTGGTTTTCTTTTTGCCTCATTATTTAGTTTTGTGACTTTAAACTATGCCTAATAAAACAGTGAAGTTAAGTTGAAGGCATTACTGGACTTTAATGTATGTTTTGGGTTTTGGGTTATTTTGAGATACTACGGGTTATCACATGTGGTTTCCCCCAAGACAGTGTTCTAGGACCAACTCTTTTCATACTTTACATAAATGACCTCTGTGATCATATCAAGAGCAACTGTGTTCTCTTCGCTGATGATGTAAAGCTATTCAACACCACAGACAATACTGCTATCCTTCAAAAAGACCTTGACTATGTATCAGAATGGTCAAACAAATGGCAACTTCAAATCTCAACAAATAAATGCTCTGTCCTACATATTGGAAAAAAAATAAATAAATCAGAAAATAAAATACAGGCTGAATAGTCAAGACCTTGTTGATGATCCAAACTCGTCAAGGACCTTGGAGTATTCATCTCTAATGACTTAAGTGCTAAGCCCACTGTAACTACATAGCCAAAAAGGCATTAAGAGTTGTTAACCTAATCTTACGTAGCTTTTTCTCTGGTAATATTACAGTAATAACTAGAGCATACAAAACATTTGCTAGACCAATACTTGAATACAGTTCATCAGTCTGGAATCCACATTACGTATCTGATATTAGCACAATTGAGAAAGTCCAGAAATATTTCACAAGAAGAGTTCTCCACTCCTCTACTCGTTGTAGAATACCTTATGCCACCAGACTCAAAATTCTAGACCTAGAAAATCTAGAACTACACCGCCTTCGGAGAAGGAGAATGAATGCAAAACAAATACCCTTCTGAGAAAACACGGGTCTCACTGTTTGTACAAATCTTTCTCCATTGTCAGTATCCATAACTACAATCCCAATCCATGTCCATTTGAAATGTAAAAATAGAGACAGAATACCTTCATATTGAAGGTCTTCCTTAGGAACCATTTGATAGAAGGGAAGACCAGGAGATTTGTCCTTCATCACTGGAATTGGACTATAGGTGAGCTAAAGATATCCATGAAAAGTGAAAAAGAACAATTACAATTGCACCCATATCACATCCTTCATTAATTTGCATTGTTTTTATTGGCACATAAATATCAGTAACATTTAAGGAGAATATTTGTATTTCAGGATTGAAATGAAGGGTTCTTGCTCCTCTCTGACCTTGCATATTTTCTTATAGATGTTTCACTACCTTAAATAAGGAACATCATCATTTTCTGCTAAGGAGTTAGGTTTGGTTCTCATTTTATATTCTAATGTCTTCCCCTGTCAGTATTGGTAAAGGTGGTGATCTTAGAGATTCTTTGGTTGGGTTGTTTGCTGTTGGCCTATTTGGTGGTTTCTTTATTAGGGTATTGTTTACTTGACTGTTGGTCTGATGTTAATCTTGGAGTTAATTTATGTTAATCTGAGTGCTGATTGTGGTGGAGAGGTGCTTGTAGTCCCCCCTCTTTTGGTTGGTTGATTGTCTCTTGCCATAGAATATAGATATTTTTTATTGGTGTGTGAATTGATGGCTGATTTGTAAAAGTGCCAGGCTTCTAGAAATTCCCTGGTATTTTTGGACACGGCTTGGTCTAGGATGGTCACATTTTCTCAATTGAAACTATGATTAAGTCTGTCTATATGTTATGAAATTAAAGAGTTTTCATTTATCTTATGACTGCTAGTTAGTTTTTGTAGATGCTTTTTGCCAGTCCTCTGTTAGTGTTTTTATATGGATGTAAATATTGTACTTTGATATGTAAGGGAAATCATTGATGAATCACTTTCTCCATGATGACAAGCTAAAAACACTTTGCTAAACTTGGATAGTTTAATTATCTAAATCCATTCCAAGATACAGAAAGAACAAAAGTATACAGACCAAATCAAAGAAATGATAAAAGAAGTGTTAAATTTCATTTGCAAACCTTACCTGAGGAATCTTATAGATATCCAGAACTATTGCCATATCAAGAGAAGTAAGAGAATCCAGTCCACCAATCACAGCAAGGAGCTTATTCTGCATATTACAGTTGTAATTTGGGAAAAATTGTTCCAGTGTATATATAAGCAGCATTGTAGATGATATGTCCATTTTGCATCATAACAATTATCATAAATATGAAATCCAAAGGTGATATTTGGTAAAATTTGAGGATTTTCATTAATCTGCTTTACTGCAAAAGCCAAGGCCAGAACGTGTTGGTAATTCTTGGGAAGTATTCTAGAATGAGTGTTGCAGCCTGTATCAGATAATGTTTTACAGTTCTGAAACTTTTTGCAGGATTTATCATATTTATTATTGTACATTATAGAAGATGTATACTACTTTGGAGTATGTAAAGTTAAACATAAAGTAACATTCATATACTCAAATTCTTATATTATCATGTTACCTGATAGTTCCAATAATCATATAGAATAATATCTTTTTAAAAATTACACACCTTCTTTCTGCACAATTGCATTGTCTACCTAGCATATAAAATTTCTTCAATTTCCTATAACATCATCTGGTATTCTAATTAACATAAACGCACATACAGACTAAAATGAATTCCTTACGTAAGTTCCTCAGGCATGGCTGGTAGAGGTTCCTTTATGAAATCTTTGGCATAGGAGAGGAAGGTCCCATGAGATGTGATACCTCCGATGATGAGATCTCCAGATTGATGATAGCTATGAAGTGGTTGTTGTGGGTATTTGACATTACATTTTGCTGTGAGAGCTTCATATGCTATGTATGGAAACAGAGTTAACAGGAACATCGCTCCTACCAGCATCCTGAAATCAATGGAAAAATCTTCTCTGTGTACATCCTTTTATCTACAAAGCAGCCATTAGATTATCTACTGATTCAGCAGCATACAAGTAGAATGAATTGTAATTACTATTATTCCAATATTAAATAAATCTAAAATTCCAAATATTGAATACTCAGATCGTATTGACAAACATATCCCCATCCCTACCTTTAATGCTAAAGGTTATATTTATCCAATATTTCACTGACTGTGTTCAGGAGTTGATCTTTGGGAACAAACTGCAAATTTCATAATCAATTAATTTAATTACAGATATTATGCTAATTGCAGGGATGGAAATTGTTTTCCATGTAGAATATCTAAAAGAACCAATATATTTATCATGACTGAAGGGATTTTTTCCTATCTTCTTCATTAATAAGTATATTGCTGTCCTGCCTCCAGTACTGGGCTGTAAAAGGAAAGATAATCCAAAAATGAAGACTTTGATACCCAACTGACACTTCACGCATATCATCATAGAATTAACCTGCTTTTCAAAATAGTTTCCAAAGAATGAATTATTGACATTTCAAAGCCAATTAAAAGGATTTTTTTTAATAGACTGTACTTTCCCCCCTCTCTGGTATCCTAGTTTTATCCTAATGCTAGTTCATTGGATTTTTTTAGTGAACAAATGTGCCTTAAGAGACTGAAAACCTTTATTTTTAGACTATCTTCCTTCTGTAAGAACATATTGATGGAAGTAGCACAATTTTTCTTATTATCTTCTCAATCACCCTCCTAAATTCTTCAAGATGTTCCAAACCTATATTTACTCTTGTCATTGATGCTTCTATTGGTATGCCAAAACATGACTTGCCAAAATTAGTTTTCTGATGCTGCAGTATACAATTCAGAAAATGCTAAACACTGAATAACAACAAATAGAAATATCAAATTATTGTGGCCACTGGAATGTAAATACACATATTTTCTCTGGTAAATGAGCAGAAGCCATATGGTCTATTAATTCTTCCAATGCTATAGTTATTTGTTAAGATTTTTCAGGATTCAGCAGAGTCAAATAGGTTGGGAACATTTATCAAATAGAAAATCCAGGCATTTTTCTAGCATAGTATGCAGTGTGTAGTGGATGAAAAACTGTCTCCTTGACCACATCCACAATAAAACTAGATTTTCTTATAAAATAGAGTCAATTTACAATTATAACACAGCAGAAAATGTCCCACTTGGCTTTCCCCAAAATAAATAGATAAATACATACATACATACATAAATAAGCTTGTATTATCTGCTCCATTCTGAAGGAAAACTTTTCTCAACAATCTGTTTCTACAGAGCTTTGATATACAATAAATGGTCACCAATCAAAACAAAGAATACCATGGAGTGACATTCTGAAAGAAAATTATTGGATCCAGTCTGTATTCAAAACAATATAGCGTTTCTCTGAAAATCTTCTCTTCTTTGCCTAATTGCATTATCTTGGTGAAAGTCTGAGAATCTTTGGAACAGAGTGATAGTTTTGTAGCACAGATATCTTATACAGCAGAAGCATCCCATTACAATGAAATGGTTTCTTTCAACCATCCATTTCTGTTCAATATTTATGACCAAAACAATACTTATGACCAAAATCCCTATATTTCCTTACATAAGGGAGTATTTTTGTTCTAAATTTCTGCACATTTTAGTCCAAAACAAAGAAAGAAAGCTAATTAAAGAACCAGCATTTTAAATAGTTCTATTCGCTTCCTAAGAATTTTGGAAATTATTGCCTTCTATAATTCTAGCTTTTCAGTACTTTATTCTCTCCAGGTACAAAACAAAAACAAATAATTATTTATGGTTAGAATTTAAATGATAGATTTAAATATCTGTGTTAATATTGATAAAATATGGTTCACATAATTCATACATAAAGTTATAGCTTCTAAACAAATTTCATATTTTGGATTGGCAAAATACATATGATGTATAATATATAAGATTTATTTGATACTTATCCATACTACACAATGATAATCTAAATGCAAATATTCCTTGACTTATGACCACAGTTAGACCAGGAAATTCTGCTGCCAAGCAAAGCAATTATGAAGTGGGACATGCCCAATTTTATGCTGCATTTGTTAAACAAATCACCATGGTTATTAAGTAAGTCTTAAGAAGCTGGTGTCAATTAAGTGGCTCTTCCCATTAACACTGAACTGTGATGATGTAGTGGCTAGAATGCAGCATGGTAAGCTAAATCTCCCCTTAGGCAGGAGTTCAATCCTGACCAGCTCAAAATTGACTCAAACTTCTATCCTGTGCAGGTCAGTAAAATGAGATCCCAAATTGTTGGGAGCAATATTCTGACATTGAAAATCACTCAGAGAATGCTATAAAACACTATGGAGCCATACATAAGCTAAGTGTTATTGCTAAGTGCTATTGCTGGAAGACAGGAAGGTCACAAATGGCAATCATGTGGCCCATTTATGCAACTATCATAAATACATGGCAGTGTCCAAATGCCCAAATTTTGATCATGTAACCATGGGAGATGTTGTGAAGTCATAAGTGTAAAGACTGGCCATAAGTCAATTTTTTCACTACCATTGTAACTTTGTATGTTAAGTGAATAGTCATAAATGGAGAACTGCCTGTAATGAAAGCTTTGTACAATAACAAATTGTATTTCCTGTGACTTTGATTACCATTGCTATTACCAAAACTTTCTATTAATATTATGAACTGAAAAAGGAATAGGAAAAATGACCTTGAAGATACCTGATGGTTAATTTTCCAAGTATCTTCAAAATGAAAGCATTCCTAATAAATATAGTCCATTAAAAATGTAATCAATATAAATAATAGGAAAAATATTCAGCAGAATTTCTATTTTAAAACAACATAAAAATGCAAGTTCATCTGCAATGCAGATTACAACCAGGGATGGGATTTTACCAGTTCACACCTATTTGCTAGAACCGGTTGTTAACATTCTAAGCAGTTCAGAGAACCGGTTGTTAGAAGAAATTACTGGCCTAATCCTGTAAGGAAGGCAGGAAGGAAACGTTCTGGTGTTGCTTGCAGAAACTGCCTCTCCATTAATCCTTATTACATTCTTGGCAGGACTAGACTTCCTGTCTCAGGAACATCTCTGGAGTTTTTTTTCTCTACTTTGCTGGTACTTTGCTTCTGTGGAGTGAGCATTCAAAGTTACAATGGCACTGAAAAAAGTGACTTATGACCATTTTTCACACTTACGACTATTGCAGCATCCCCACAGTCATGAGAGGCCAGGCGAGGAGATGCATGCCTCTATGTGAGTGATATTGAGTTGGCCACACCCAGCCAATAACATGACCACCAAGCCATGTCCACCCAGTCACATGACCACCAAGCCATGCCCACACCTAAGCCACACCCACAGAACCGTTTGTTAAAAATTTTGAATCCCACCCCTGATTACAACTATATTCTTGGGAACATTCATTACTTCTGTCTTTTTAGCTGTCTGTTGTTTAGATCTGGTCTCAGAACAATAATGTAGCATTTGGGGGAAAAGATGCAGATCAGCAGCCCAGCACTCGAAGTTAACATTGAGAAAATCTCTACAGCAACTGTGTATTTCCCCTTGGTGCTCAGGTAGGTTGGAATGAAGGATATCCAAACACTGCAGAAGACTAACATGCTGAAAGTGATGAATTTGGCTTCATTAAAAGTATCTGGTAATTTCCTGGCAAAGAAAGCCACTATGAAGCTGATTATGGCCAAGAAACCCATATAAAACCTTGCAAAATAAAACATAATTATAGAACCTTCCTTACACTGTAGGACAATTTTTTCAGCCTCTGAGTGCAGGTCAGCATCTGGGACAGGAGGAGAGATGGCTAACCATAGAGTGCAAATCCCTACCTGAATTGAGAAATCAGATAAAACAAAAGCATAGCCCAATCTTTTCCCCACCCACTTCGTCAATCCACTTCCTGGCTTTGTTGCTACGAAAGCCAGGACCACAGTCACAGTTTTGGCCAGCACACAGGAAATAGCCACAGAGAAGATGATGCTGAAAGTAGTTTGTCGGAGAATACATGCCATCTTGCTTGGCTTACCAATGAATAGTAATACACAAAGGAAGCAGAGCAAGAGAGTTACCAGGAGCATGTAGGTAAGATCCCGATTACTGGCCTTGACAATGGGAGTGTTGTGATGCATCAGAAATATCTTTAGTGTAAGAACTGTGGTTATGGAACAGAAAAGAGAAAAACAAGCTAAACTTATTCCCAAAGGTTCTTCATAAGACAAGAAACTTATGTCCTTCAGAATACATGAATCCTGATTTTTGTTGGAATACTTTTCTTCTGTACAATTATAGCAGTCATTCATATCTGTAATTGAAAGGGTCCAGTAAGTATCAAAATTATGCATAAATACCACCACTGATAACTTTTTAAATAGCTGAATATCAGATAGCACTTTATTCTGAATCCAACAGTGAAGTATATGTGCACACACACATATCTACCCATATTTATTAACTCAGATAATATGCACCAGTGCTTGCATACAAACAGTAAAGCCCACAATGTATGACTACATTTAAAATATTCATAATTACTTTATAGTAATTCGTGGAATTTTGGCTTCTATATCCTGGCTAAAGAAATATGAATTCTGTCAATAGGATAAATTTGCAGAAGTTAATAGATAGAAGTTACTTTAATCTTATTTCTAATTTAAATTTGTTTAACTTCTCAAGAATACTCTCCTAAGTAGTGTGATTAAAAAGTGAAGTATTTATTTTTATATTTAAAGTGAAAAAGAAATTATAACATACATGAGAGACTGAACTTTAGATAGAATTGTTATTGTAAATAGGGGCTTCCGGTTTGAGTTCCTTCGGCGACAGACAGAAATCTGCGATCGTGCGCAGTTTCGGTCTGGGCTAGCTGCTGGAGCACCCCAAGCCGGCTGGTTTTGGGGCTAAGCTACCCCATAGAGGTGGTGAAAAAGGGGGAGACTGCCAGCAAGGTTGAGGAGAGCCGCATCTCTCCTCCTCAGCTGGCCATTACTCCCTTTCCCGAAGGCAGTTGTAGCAGTGGTCAGAAATGGCCACCTCAAAGAAGAACTCAACCGGAAAAGAATGTGCAGGAGGAAGATAAGAAGTGAAAGTTTTGGCTGACCGGGTAAAATTGCAAAAGCAACAACTAAGGTACCCTAGAATTTAAACTTACAAAAAAATAACATCGTTCCCAAAGAAGAGTCTGAAGCAGCGAAGGAAAGTGAAAAGGGAAAGGGTTGGTTTTTTTTTTTCCTCTCCCTTTCCCTATACTGACAACTAAGAGACTTAAATAAGAAATCAGAAAAATCCGCTTTGACATCAACAGGCAATTAAGCTGAAAATAAAACAAAATGTCAAAGGGATAATAAAGATTTCTGGACACTAAATTTTTTTTCATAAGCAGGAAAGGAGAGAAAAAGAATAAAAGGGCAGGATCTGGAAAGAGGGAGGAGACTGCCTGGAATTAAAAGGAATCTACAGTAAAACTTCAACAAGACTTCTAAAAGATACATTTTTACTGAAACTTTGTAACTAAACAGTAGAACCCCAGGAAGAGAAAGTGAAAAAAAAGAGAGAAAAAAGAAACAGCTTGCGTGTATTTGGATTACTTGATGATCTTTGGATTCTTGGTTATTGCATTTGAATGACTAAAATTAATCGGGTGGTTATTTAAAAATTTATACAATGGCACCACTTCTGGATGAATTGAAAATGGAACTTAAAAGTACCAAGAAGATGCACAAGAAGGGAAGGGTTCTTTTGGTTTCGTTTTTCAATTCTTAGAAATGGAGATTTGGAACTATGAGAAACAACAAGAAAAGACTGCAAAACAAGAAGACTGGGACAAAGAAGAAGCCATCTTTAATGAACAAGTAATTCTATGTGGGGAAGAAAAAGGAAAGGGGGTAAAGAGAATGGAGAATTTAAGACTTAAAAAAACAAAAAAAAGAAAAGAAAAATAATTCAAAAAATAAGTATAATACTGGAAAGCAACAGAAGAGGGGAATACAGAAGAGAGAAATAGAGGTAGAGGGAAAATGGGGTAAAAAGGGGAGAGAGAAGAAGAGAGGGAAGAAGGAAAGGAAAAGAAGTTACAAAGGACCGAAACAAGATATAGAGAAACAGGGCCTATTTAGAGATAATGGGTGAAAATTTAACTGAAAAAGGGATTCTGTAAAGGTACATAAGATTGTATTGTTATATTAGTAATAGAAATAACTTTAGAAAATTGGAAACAATGTATGATTAAAATGAGGGATAAAATAGTTAGTGTATTCTAGTGAAATGTTTGTTAATAAAATAAGTGAAATAAAATAAATGAGAAAACTGAATTAGGAAGGGACAGGAACATTTTAATTAGTTAATGTTTTATAAAATATAAGTGAAGGGGGGGAATTAATTATGGAAAGCTTATAATTGTTCCCATAGAAGTATGATATTTAATTGAAAAGTAATGTTAAAGAAGTTAAGATTTTAATTAATATTAACATTAATGATAGAATTGAATTGGAATGGAATGTGTTGTTTTAATTACATATTTTTTTCTTTTTTTAAGAATATAGTGTGTATTTTAAGAATGTACCAAGCAGAATCCAAATGGAAGTTATATATTATATTGAATGTTATAACTTTAGGGTATATATTGAAGCCTAAATAAGAGTTAAATGGATAAACTTAAAAGATATAAAGGTGTCATACTCCAATCAGCAACTACAGGAGAAACTTTGTTTAATGAGAAAAGATAATAGATAATTGAAACAGGACAGACAAAAAGTATAAATATAATGATTTGAATTGAGACGAGATAATTAAAAAAATTGAGAAAATTAAAAGAGGGGAGAAGCTATGTAGAAAATGTAAAACAGTAATAAGATATGGAATAGAACATAAAAATGAGCATGAAATTGAATTTGTGTCTGTATGAAGAAATGTAACCCGGGATTATGCTACTTTCAAAAAAGATGTTTTATTTGTATTTTTTTTGTGAAAACTCAAATAAAATTTACAAAAAAAAAAAAAAAGAATTGTTATTGTAAATAGAATTATTTTTATCCATTTTCCATTAAAAATATTTTTTTAAAAAATGGCTAGGGATAATACTGAAAAAATGGCTAGGGATAATACTGAAAGGCTATAATGAAAGTGATAATACCACTCAAAGGCTAGGGATAATACTGAATCCAGGAAAAAAAACTCTTTAAAAGGTGAACAATCAGAAATGTTTGACTTTGAATTGTAGTGCTGGAGAAAAATGTTCAAAAAACTTTGAATTGCAAAGAATATATTCAGTACTAGAAAAGTAAAACCAGACTGCTCACTAGAAGTAATTAAAACAAAGATAAAAAAAATGGGACAGATAAAGGAAGGCAAGAATATTTGAGGTAAGCCTGGGTATTTGGGAAAAATGGATAATAATCAACAAAAGAGACACAGAAGAAAATGTAACCAAACATGTTCATGAGTGTCAGTTAATTGCCAGCAGTTCTTACAGCAGTGATATCAGTCAGCTCATGAAGATTTGGAAACAACTAAGCAACCTAAAAACAATATTATACTTACCCTCCTTTTCTGCAATCTTGCCTTCTGGACATAAGATGCAGGAGTAACAGCAAAATGGCCTCTCTTGCATTACTTGCTTCCTAGAACCTGGATTACAGCTAGGTGTGCACTGGGAAACAGGAGCAGTCTAATTCATGAACCAAAACCAACATAAAAAAGAGCAATATTTTTTCAGTACTTTGATTCTAAGCTGTGGTTGTTCTCTCTAGCATGGTCAGCATAAATGCAGAGTTTTCCAACATACTGTCATATTCAAATTGAAAAAAGTTATCAGCTTTGGAAAATGTTGAGCTGCCGCATTTGGTCATCATAGCCTAGGAAACACATGTCATTAACAAATGTGGCTGGCATTTTCAGAGTCAAAGTGATCTGTTACATATCCCAATAGTATTAACAAGAAAGAAGAAGGTTAACAAACTCAAATTACCTTCCCTGGATTATATCAACAACCTACCCAAGATCTTGCCCAATCAGGAATAAGTTCCCCAAAATAGGCAAATCAGAAAACTGCTTACTTCCCAATAGATACCTTTATGGCCATGAAAGTCCATTCCAGAATAAAACACCTTCGTTTGTCAAATAATGAGCTGCTTAATCAGTATCATTAATTATCCTTCCAAGTATTTTATATTGTTCCAAAATATAGTAACCATGTAACTTGTGTGTTAAGCAAAATACATTAGATATTTCCAATTTTCATTTCCAATTTTCAGGAATAATAACAGAAACACAAGATATTTAGGTGGAAAAAGGAACAATGGGTGGAAACCAGGGCTATCTTAAGAGAATTATGGCTCCCGTGCAAAGCAGTGTACTGGGCCCCTATGACAATTACTCACAGGAATAAAAATGTAAGTGGTTGATAAAATTAAACATATATTTATTTTATTGGCACTTCCAAAGAAATTGGTGCTGAAACATTAAAAACATGCTGTGCAGCAACAACTAATCAACATGATATTTGAACAATACACGAGGCTTGAAAAACACAATAATATTCAGTAAGCCATACAGTTGCTGTATTTATATGATGCAAGGTGCATTGAAGAGTTAACATACACAGATTAGTATGGGGCACCTATGCTTGTGGGGCCCATGGACAAGTGCCCATCAGGCCCATGTGTTAAGACCTCCACTGGTGGATACCAATCCAGGAGAGAAGCAACTTGGAATTAAGGAGAAACTTCCGAACAGTGAGAATTAATTAACCAATGGAACAGGTTGCCTTCTGAATTGTGGGTGCTTCATCAGTGGAGGTTTTTAAGAAGAGAGTGGATAATCACTTGTCTGAAATTATTTAGGATCTCCTGCTGGAATAGGAGGGTGGACTAGAAGACCTCATAGGTCCCTTCTAGCTCTATTCTGATTGATTGATTGATTGATTGATTGATTGACTGAAAAATAAAGATGGGAAAATGCCCCAGCTAATAATGATATTATTGCCCTCTTTAACAATCAATTTCAGTGCTCCTGTTCAGATTAGACATTTCCCAGATTGTGTATTTTTACAACCTACTTGGTTAAACCAGCTGTTCCACGTTATGGCATCTTTGTATATGATGAATGTTTGATTTGCAGGAGACTGAGGGTCTATCCTTCCAATTTTCACTTTTGACTGGTTTTCAGAAAGAACAAAATTGATTATATCAAACCCATCTATTAACTTTCCATCTTGGTCAAAGATTATCTTGTCCCCAAGACTGTTGTTAAATGTAACATGTCTCAAAAAGGGATGGAGCTAAATTTTAAAAAGATAACAAACAAAAGGATGATAAATGTAAAAAAAAATGTTAATCAAAATACATGTACAGGTAAAATGTTCCAGGGCTGATTTCATTTATTTAAACATTGATCCTTGCAAAAGATGTGATTAAACTTCATAAATTATAATTATTAAAGAGCAATTGCAACTGAATTAAATTTGAATTATGTTATGTGATGGAATGGAAACTATCAGTGTATTAGAGAATCTGGAATCAGGATTATAGAATATAATGAGCACTTTACCTGCCAAAATGGCTGGTTATGTAGCTTCAGTCCATTCTCTATCCTTGTCTGGTGTTTTAATTCAGCTCTAAACATATCATGTAAAGCATAAGCTATAGCAAAGACAGCATTGTAGACACTGTAGCTATGGCCAGACATGCTCATTTCAAAATTGGGATACAAGAGGCTCCCTAGTTGTTCAGCTCCAGTGCAATGATTTTTCTCCATTTCATTCACAAGTGTACTTGGAAATACACAGGAAAAGACCTGCTCCCAGAAGTTTTTGAAAAAACCATCTTCTTTTGTGGTGAAAGGGTTTCGACTTTCTATAAACTGTTGAAATCCAGATACATCCCTGGAGTGAAACATGAAAGCTATAGCTCCATGGAAAATGTCTAAATCCCAATTTCTTTGAAATACAAAGGATGCAATCTCCATTTGGGCTGTGGTGATCCATAGTTTTCCTAAGGATTTCCTATACTTACTGTCAATAACTTCATCTGATTGATACGAAAGAAATCTAAAAAATCCAAAGGAATTAGATTCACCATAAGCAAGTATCACTGTAGCCTTACTATGTGTCAATGTATTATAAATAATCCTCCCTTTATACAGTATTTCTGATATATCAGTAATAAAAGTTATAACAGGGATTTTCTGTATGAATGCAAAACAAATTCCCTTCTGAGAAAACATGGGTCTCACTGTTTGTATAAATCTCTCTCCACTGTCCGTTTCCATAACCACCACTCCAATCCATATCCATTTGAAATATAGAAGGAGAGACAGAATTCCTTCATACTGAAGGTCTTCCTTAGGAACCATCTGGCAGAAGGAATGACCAGGAGATTTGTCCTTCATAACTGGAGTGGGACTATAGGTGAGCTAAAGGCATCCATGAAGAAGAAAAAGAACAATTGCAGCATTTATTGTAAAGTTGCACTGTTTATAGTAATATAAGAATAAATTGAATGTATTGTTTCAACTGTCATTTATAACATTTCAAATGAGATAGGCAATAACAAACAAGGTAAAAATATCTCTCTGTATCTCTTGGTATCTATATCATTTATATCAATATCTATATTATCTATATGTATACCTATACATATATACCTATACATATATACCTATATATCTACATCTACATCTATCTATCTATCTATCTATCTATCTATCTATCTATCTATCTATCTATCTATCTATCTATCTATCTATCTATCTATCTATCACAACTAATGCATTAAAGAATATTTCACTTTAGATAAAAAATTCTTTTGCTGACTAACTACTATAAATCCTCAATATCTTAGTATAGCATTTCAGTATTCATTGCACATGTGTGCTCTCCTTCTGTTGCTTTTTGACAAACCAAAATTAAAATGATTGGTGGTTTTTGTGTATTTAAACATACTAATCATCCATTCTTTGCTGTCTGACAGCGATTTATTTATTTATTTATTTATTTATGATTTAATTTTTTGATGCCACTTGTCTCCTTTACAGGGTGACTGGATGCTTGCAGGTTATAAAACAAATAAAAATAGTTAAAATATTAAAATATATCATTGTTAAATATAATGTCCTACTTAGAACAGACAACAGTTCTCTCTACTTCCAGCTTTCTTGGAGGTGAAGTATTCTTAAAATTTTGAAATTATTGTTTCTTCTCACAGGAATATAAGTAATATCCTAATGGATCAGACTCGTGATCTACTGTACAAGAAAGCAAAAGGAAATCTCCCAGGTCAATGGCTTTCAGAGACAGTCATGTTGTCATCAAGTTAAAAGTTAAAAGTAAAGATAGTTTCCCCTCGCACATATGTGGTAGTCATTTCCAGCTCTAGGACCTGTCATCAAGTTTAATAGGCATTAATTCCCATGATTTCCATGGATTCTCAGGGACAAGCCGGTCTTATGAAGAGATCTGAGAAGTCAAATCACTGAAAATATTTTTATGACATTCTCATAAGACCAAACATACTATATGTATTTAGTAAATATGATTTGTGGAGGGAAATGTATTCTTAGCTTAGTTATATAGATTTAAATATTATTTCTTCACATGTAAGAAGAATCATTCATGAATCAATATGTAACTACCTTGGATAACTTAATTATGTAAGCTGGTTCCAAGAACAAAGTACATCCAGCAAATCAAATAAATGATTTAAAAAGTGTTAAAGAACAATCAACCAATGGAACAGCTTGCCCTCAGAAGTTGTGAGAGCATCATCGCTTGTGACTTTCAAGAAGAGATTGGACTGCCACTTGTCAAAAATGGTGTAGGGTCTCCCCCTTGGATGGGGGATTGGACTAGATGACCTACAAGGTCCCTTCCAAATCTGATTATCTGTTATCTGTTAAACTTCATTTGCAAACCTTACCTGAGGAATCTTATAGGTATCCAGAATAATTGCCATATCAAGAGAAGTAAGAGAATCCAGTCCACCAATTACAGCAACGAGCTTATTCTGCATGTTACAGTTGTAATTTGGGGAAAAATGTTCTAGTGTATATATAAGCAGCATTGTAGAATGATATGTCCATTTTGCATCGTAATAATTATCATAAATATGAAATCCCAAGGTGATATTTGGTAAAATTTGAGGATTTTCATTAATCTGATTTACCGCAAAAGCTAAGGCCAGGATGTGTTGGTAATTCTTGGGAAGTATTCTAGAATGAATGTTGCAATCTGTATCAGATAATATTTTACAGTTTTGAAACTTTTTGCATATTTATTATTGTTGATCACAGAAGATGTATACTACTTTGGAGGGATAATGTTTAACACAATGTAACATTCATACATTCAGATTTTTATATTTTCATGTTACCTTATATTTCCAATCATCATAAAGAATAATGTCTTTAAAAATTAAGCACTTTCCATCTGAACAACGGACAATGTCTGCCTAACACCTAAAGTTTCTTCAATTTCCTATAACATCATCTGGCATTCTAATTAACACAATGCACATACAAAACTGAATTTCTTACGTAAGTTCCTCAGGCATGGCTGGTGGAGGTTCCTTTATGAAATCTTTGGCACAGGAAAGGAAGATCCCATGAGAGGCGATATTGCCAATGAAGAGATCTCCAGATTGATGATAGCTGTGAAGTGGGCATTGTGGATACTGGACATTACATTTTGCTGTGAGAGCTTCATATGCTGTGTATGGAAGCAGAGTTAACAGGAACATTCCTCCTATGAACATCCTGAGTGCAATGGAAAAATATTTTTCCTGCAGGTCTTTCTATCTACAAAGAAGTCGTTAGAATCTCTATTGATTCAGCAGCATGCAGAATGAAATATAATTTCTATAATGCTAATATTAAATGAGTAGACAGTCTTCTGGCCAATCTAAAACTCCAAATATTGAACACTTGAGGTCATACTAACACATATCCCCATCCCTACCACTAATGCTAGAGGTTAGATTTATCCAATATTTCACTGACTATGTTACATTTTGGGAAGAAACTGCAATATTATGTCAGCTAATTTAATTATAGATATTATGCTAATTGTAGGAATGGGAATTATTTCTTATACAGAACTGAAATTCCATGTAGAATATCTTTAGAAAATCAGATGGAGTTAGCAAAGATGGCTAAACTGACTATTTTGATTAAAGAAAAAAATACCTTTATTTCTACTTGGAAACTGCTTCTGGACTTTATGCTTGATGTTGAAAAAAATGATACTTTGATTTTGAGTTTTACCAATTAAGTAGATTTATTGTTGTAAAAATTGCTAGTTTATATTATTACATAAAAAGTTGAGCTTAGTTGTTATTGCCTTATTCTATTGCACCAAAGGAGTCAGAAGTCAATGCCTTTTTTCCTTTTCCCCTTGCTTTCCCCCACTATTCACTTCCCCTTTTCTTTCCCTTATTTCCCTACTATTTACTTTTGTATTCTCTTTGTATGCCATATTATAAACTAATAAAAATTGAATGTAAAAACAAATATTGTAATGACTGCAACAGGCACTATGTAGGACAAACAGGTAAAAGACTATCAGAACACATCCATGAACACTAACTGGCAGTCAGAAGAAATGATGAAAATCTTTAATTTCACAACATATAGATAGGTTTAACCATAGTTTTAATTGGTAAATGTGACTACTTTAGACCATGCCAAGTCCAAAATTGCCAAGGAATTTTTAAAAGCATGGCACTCTGACAGGTCAGCCATCAATAGACACAGAGACATTAACAACATCTATGTAAAAGAGACTCACCCAGACAAAAAGAAACAAAAAGTCCGAAGTACCTCTCTACTAGCAATCAGTACTCAGATCAGTATAGATTAACTCCAAGGTTAACATCAGACAACAATCAACTAAACCAGTGGTCACCAAAACAAAAGAAGGGGGGGTTAAAAATAGAAGATTCCAAAAAGTAACTAAAAAGGGGAATATCTGTAAAAGTAGGAAAGACAGGAAGAAACAGCAGAAAAGTAAAAGGGGGAAGGAAGATACAAAGAGGTAGAGGGACACAAATCAGAGGGAGAAAATATTTGGAAAAATAAAAGGGAAGAGTGGTAATGAAGAACAGGAACAGGAAAGAAAAAATATGGGAATTGTAAAATTATGCAAAAATTGTTTATTTAGATTACATAGGGATAATGGTTACTGAATTAAGAAAGGGGATTCTGCACTAATATGAGGGGTAATAAGAATGTATTTGCAATTACAAGTTATCTAGAAAATAGGGGAATATAGACCACTGAGAGGAGGGAAGGGCACTGATATTTTTTTAGTAGATGAATGTGTGTTCTTATTTTTATTGCTACAAGAAAGGTCAATGTTTATTATATATATTGAAATAATTGAAATGAATTGTGAGGATATTTTAAAATGAGATTAATATCAGTGACCAGGACTAGCTAAATGGATTAATTGTTTCTTTTTGTTCTATTTTTTTGGCATTATAAATAAAACCCTGTGGAAGTAAAGGGGGAAAATAGACTGCGGAATCTGACTGAAAAGTACAATGTTATGTAGTTCTTTTTTTAGGGAATGATTATTACTATAACTAATTAAAATAAATGTTTATTGGGAATTAAGATGAGGGAACTAAGGTAAACCACTGAGGTGGCACTCCCAAATTAGTAAAAGGGGAGGGGAAATTTATGTTCTATTTTGTGTGTAAAAGCTTGTATTAAACTAGAATCTATGGAAAGAATATGTGATGAAATTGAAAAAATGACAGATAAAGGAATTAAAAGGTAGTAAGTATGAAGATATAGGAATCATTAGTGTTTTAAATGAGAAAAGAGTATCACGGAAAAGGTCACACTTAAAAAGAAACATCAATGTTTAAGAAATATTTGAAATAAATTGAAATGAATTGAGAAAATGTTTAGAATGAAAGTAACATTAGTGAACAGGATTAATTTGTTTGTTCCTTTTCTTATGTAAAAGTTGGAGAATTAAGTTAAAAATGGATAAGATAGGAAGTTGAATGTAGAAAATGAATAGATAATTATTGTCATATTTGCATGTAAAAGTGGTTACCCGGAATTATTTTGTACACTGAAAAGAGCTTTTTTTCCCTTTGTTTTGGAAAAAATGAATAAAATTTGTTTTTTTTAAAAAAAGGATTGGGATTGAGCAGGCATTGCTTGGAGCCGATCTGCGGCTTTGCTCCGCATATGGAAGGCTTCTCACTGGGTGGTCGAATGCATCAAGAAAGACACCAACGCAAGTTCTATCTTGGGTGAGCTGCCCCGATCAGAGTTAGGGGAACTCTTTTTATTAAGAACATACAAAAGAGGTGAGCTCCATCCAATCATTATGTTACATGCATAGGAATGTTACTGGATGTATCGCATCTACCAATCACAATGCCATGGTAAATTTAAACTAGCAAACCAACCTGCATTTCAGTTAACTGCCCTTGTGACGTGTTTAATGGCCTTGTTCCTGGTACCTGCTTTCAGCCTACGTGAGACCTGGCATGTACTGGAACTATTGAGGTTGCTCACGTGAGGCTTGGCACACAATGGAATTGGCCCATTACAGCATCTCCTCTGTTTTAGTTTTATATGGAGGAAATTCTTCTGGATCTTCGTCACTACCCATGCAAAAACCTGTGTGAACGCACACATCAGGGTCTTCTGAGGGTATGACTATGTACAGAGGTTCTTTTTCCCAGAGGGCATTAACCTGTGCAATGGCGCGCTTTTCAGCTAATAAAGACAGACTATTGGAGATGGTACGAACAAATATTGGTAACACACATGGAAGAATAACGCATCCTGCAGCAATCATACCTATGAGAGCTACTATGGCTTGTAATCCTGGTAGTTTAGGGAACCAAGAACTAAAAATATTCTTAAAATCAATACCTTGCCATACTTGATTAGGATTGTAGGTTAATTGTCGCATCTCAGTTGTTAATTGTGCTACTACTTTGCCAACTTTGTCAATTTGAAGACAACAGTTCGTAAGATTGAACCTACCACATACCCCTCCTTCTTTTAGGTGCAGACTATTCTTTCTGAGGTCCAGGTGTCCCCTTCATATTCTGATTGACAGGGGAAACCTGCAAAGGCATTATCGGTGTTTCTTTTCCTGCGGGATAATGTATCATACACAGGGATGCCCAGTTCTTGCTTAATGGAGATCGGTAGGAGGAAAAAGGAAGGTCTTATCCACCCCAATACACATGACCCTTGCCAATCTGCTGGAAGGGACGGATAGGCTAGGTTACCACAAATCCAATACATGTTATTTGGAGCTGTCCAGATTTGGGAGGATGTTGTGTCATAGAGATAAGGTAGGAGGGAGGTGTTGAATTTGGTAGGTGTGGTGGTAGCATTGTCAGGTGCTGTCCAAGTCTGGTAGGAGTTATCCCATGTACCTAAGCAAAGGAGGTGTCCTACTGGAGTGGACCCATTTCGGGAAAAACAGTTTCTACCAATTAAGTTAGTGGTAATTGTCCAGATAAGTGGATCGGAAGCTATTCTAGCTGTTATGTTTCCTACAGAAGACATGTTATTAAACAGAGATGGCGAGGCTTCTAAGGCTTGCCATGGCCATTGTTCTCCTGTGGTGGTCCCCCCACAGACAAAACAATTGGTTACTGCAAGTTGTTTTGCAATTTTTTCTGCCATATCCATGAACAAGTTTTTTGCAATAATGCTGGTATCAGGGGCTTTTTCTAATTTCCTTAAATTATTATATACTGACCAGCCTAATGATGTTTCCTTGCCTTCATAAATTATTTCAGTTTTTATGGTAATGTAAGTATTTGGGTCTATTCCTGTGCCATCAATCCCTATACCATAAGTTTCCAAGGCAGGGTGTTGCCTGGAGATAGTGATTTCTACCTTATTGTCTGTAGTAGACCCTGATATTCGTTTGAAATGTGACAGATGATTGCAACCTGAGTACCCTCCCCCGGTATAATCACAGACACAAGACCAACCCGAGCACTCAATGGAACCTCCACAAGGGGTCCATTGGTTGGGGTTCCCCATGGCCCAGTTAATGGGCGTATGACACAAGTATTTATGATTGTGGGCGTACATTGATTTCCAGTCATCCGACCCGCATGAATGTCCCCCTGGTTTAGAACAAGCAACACAAACATCAAAGATTAAAACAATTGGGTTAGTACCGTCCTTGAGCACGGTGGTGTGGTTTAGGTAATAAAGTTTTCCTTCCCCCTCAGGATCAGATCTGCCAGAGGTTCTTGGAAGTCCCGCCCATACGGTGACGTTGAGACGTACAGCTGTCTTGGGATCGTAGCAAATAGTTTTTGAGTTCATCTTGCATAAATGGTACATGGTCCCATTGTTTTGGCAAGTTTTTCCCGTAGGAAGGCACTTCTGCGGTTGTTGGGTATGGTAGATGAGAGTTAGTTGAGTGGAGCCTGCCTGCGTGGTTTTGGTCAGGCAGGGGGTGCAACCATCTGATGCGCTGGCAGAGTTCTGCGATCTCTTAATCCGATGTAGAAAAGGGGTGGCCTGAGCATAAATGTCAGGCTGACTTGCGAATTGTCTGTGATAATGACGAGGTGAACGGGGTCTAAGGACTGTCCAGGATTCATAAATGTTGCTTATGGAATCATAGAGGCGTCGACCGGAGCAATAATAGGTGGTGGCAGTGGGGCGAAGTATGAGGAGTGTAGTTCGAGGGGGATGTTCAAAAGTGTTGATCTGGAAGGAAGCATTGCTGGAGATGTGG